TCAAAGTTTGCACCACATTATGATGATGAGATAGGGCGTGGCTACACCGATGCCTGCCACCCCCGAATCCGGGGCAAAGCGTGGCCACAGTGCGGCGTACTGGGCAGACATCCCTAGCCCGGCGCGACACTGTTGCCACGCAGCCCATGACATCACCATGGCAGAGAAGGCCATGCTCCCATTATGAGTTGTCGGTACGGCCCCAGGCGGCGGGCCCTATCTGACAGTGAGAAGCCAGAAGGCGGTGAACTTGGACCAGTCGGCGTGAGGGAAGGCCGACTCCCAGCAGGCGGCGCTCTCCTTCCCTCAGAGTTTGTGCGCTATTAACCAAAAGAGATGGGGAGTGGCTATAGTGAACGCCCGCCAGGCGGTGGCACTGTAGCCACGTCATCCCCGACAAAGAGCGCATCATCAGCGGCATTGCCACAGAAGTGAGCAGCTGGCGAGACCCGCAAGTGGCAGACGCGGCCTGTCGGCGAAGTATGAGATAGCCGACGGGACACACCAGGCGGCGAGCACCAGCGGTCGGCAGAGAAGTCGGCACCTATAGACACTGACAGCCGGGTCCACACCCGGCTGGATTACCATTGTACCCCTAGGGGGTAGGCCTATATAAACCCCCCAGGGCACCCATGCAAAGGGTTCAGCCTCACTAAGACCTTAACACACCCACACAAGCATATAGAGGGAGTAAGCTAGGGCTAGCCTTGTTCTTCTTCCCCCTCTAGAGAAACAGCTCAAGGAGCAAGCTTGTAGCCACCATTGTTGCTTGAGTGATCATGCGGAGACCCCGGAGAGCAGGAGTAGAGGTGTTATCTCCTAGGAGAGCCCCGAACCTGGGTAAGATTCACCGACAGGCATGTTTGCGCCTGCTACCTCTTGAGCACTGCGTCGGTTCTCCCTTGAAGAGGAAAGGGTGATGCAGCAAAGTAGCGTAAGTATTTCCCTCAGTTTTTGAGAACCAAGGTATCAATCCAGTAGGAGATTACGCTCAAGTCCCACGCACCTACACAAGCAAAGAAGAACCTCACAACCAACACGATAAAGGGGTTGTCAAGCCCTTCACGGTCACTTACGAGAGTGAGATCTAATAGATATGATAAGATAATATTTTTGGTATTTTTATGATAAAGATCCAAAGTAAAATAAATGGCAAAGGAAATAACTAAGTGTTGGAAGATTAATATGATGGAAGATAGACCCGGGGGCCATAGATTTCACTAGTGGCTTCTCTCAAGATAGCATAAGTATTACGGTGGGTGAACAAATTACTGTCGAGCAATTGATAGAAAAGTGCATAGTTATGAGAATATCTAGGCATGATCATGTATATAGGCATCACGTCCGCAACAAGTAGACCCAAACTATTCTGCATCTACTACTACTACTCCACACATCGACCGCTATCCAGCATGCATCTAGAGTATTAAGTTCATAAGAACAGAGTAATGCTTTAAGGAAGATGACATGATGTAGAGGGATAAACTCATGCAATATGATATAAACCCCATCTTTTTATCCTCGATGGCAACAATACAATACGTGTCGGTTCCCTTTCTGTCACTAGGATTGAGCACCGCAAGATTGAACCCAAAGCTAAGCACTTCTCCCATTGCAAGAAAGATCAATCTAGTAGGCCAAACCAAACTAATACTTCGAAGAGACTTGCAAAGATAAACCAATCATACATAAAAGAATTCAGAGGAGAATCAAAAATTGTTCATAGATAATCTGGATCATAGACCCACAATTCATCGGATCTCGACAAACACACCACAAAAGAAGATTACATCGAATAGATCTCCAAGAAGATCGAGGAGAACTTTGTATTGAGATCCGAAGAGAGAGAAGAAGCCATCTAGCTAATAACTATGGACACGTAGGTCTGAAGTAAACTACTCACACATCACCGGAGAGGCCATGGATTTGATGTAGAGGCCCTCCGTGATCAATGCCCCCTCCGGTGGAGCTCCAGAAATGGCCCCAAGATGGGATCTCTCGGGTACAAAAGGTTGCAGCAGTGGAATTAGGTTTTCGTGGCGCTCCTGGATGTTTGGGGGGTACGTGGATATATATAGGAGGAAGAAGTACGTCGGTGGAGCAACGGAGGGCCCACGAGGGTGGAGGGCGCGCCCAGGGGGTAGGCGCCCCCCCTGCCTCATGCCTTCCTCCCTTGTTTCTTGACGCCCACTCCAAGTCTCGTGGATCACGTTTGTTGAGAGAATAACGTTCCCAAAGGTTTAATTCCGTTTGGACTCCGTTTGATATTCCTTTTCTTCGAAACCCTAAAATAGGCGAAAAACATCAATTTGGGTTGGGCCTCCGATTAGTAGGTTAGTCCCAAAAATGATATAAAAGTGTACAATAAAGCCCATTAACATCCAAAATAGATAATATAATAGCATGGAGCAATCAAAAATTATAGATACGTTGGAGACGTATCAAGCATCCCCAAGCTTAATTCCTGCTCGTCCTCGAGTAGGTAAATGATAAAAGAAGAATTTTTGATGTGGAATGCTTTCTAACATATTTCTCAATGTAATTTTTCTTTATTGTGGCATGAATGTTCAGATCCGAAAGATTCAAGATAAAAGTTTAATATTGGCATAAAAATAATAATACTTCAAGCATACTAACTAAGCAATTATGTCTTCTCAAAATAACATGGCCAAAGAAAGTTATCCCTACAAAATCATATAGTGTGGCTATGCTCTATCTTCATCACACAAAATATTTAAATCATGCACAACCCCGATGACAAGCCAAGCAATTGTTTCATACTTTTGATGTTCTCAAACTTTTTCAATCTTCACGCAATATATGAGCGTGAGCCATGGATATAACACTATGGTGGAATAGAATAGTGGTTGTGGAGAAGACAAAAAGTAGAAGATAGTCTCACATCAACTAGGCGTATCAACGGGCTATGGAGATGCCCATCAATAGATATCAATGTGAGTGAGTAGGGATTGCCATGCAACAAATGCACTAGAGCAATAAGTTTATAAAAGCTCAAAAAAAGAATCTAAGTGGGTGTGCATCCAACTTGCTTGCTCACGAAGACCTAGGGTATTTTGAGGAAGCCCATCATTGGAATATACAAGCCAAGTTCTCTAATGAAAAATTCCCACTAGTATATGAAAGTGATATCATAGGAGACTCTCTATCATGAAGAACATGATGTTACTTTGAAGCACAAGTGTGGAAAAAGGATAGTAGTATTGTCCCTTCTCTCTTTTTCTCTCATTTTTTATTTGGGCCTTCTTTTTTTGACCTCTTTTCTTCCTTTTTTAATTTTTCGCCTGGAGTCTCATCTCGACTTGTGGGGGAATCATAGTCTCCATCATCCTTTTCTCACTTGGGACAATGCTCTAATGATGATGATCATCACACTTTATTTACTTACAACTCAATATTTAGAACAAAATATAACTCTATGTGAATGCCTCCGATGGTGTACCGGGATATGCAATGATGCATGAGTGACATATATGAAGAATTCTGAACGGTGGCTTTGCCACAAATACGATGTCAACTACATGATCATGCAAGCAATATGACAATGGTGAAGCGTGTCATAATAACGAAACGGTGGAAAGTTGCATGTCAATATATCTCGAAATGGCTATGGAAATGCCATAATAGGTAGGTATGGTGACTGTTTTGAGGAAGGTATATGCACTACTAGGGAAAACCCTAGCAGTAGCGTTGGTTTTGTGCTCACTAGTAGTGCGGGTAGGCGCACTACTAATACGGTGCTACAGCTATTGCTTAGCAGTAACGCGTGCCCGCACGCGCTACTGCTAGGACAAATAGCTGCAGTGTTTGTTCACTCCCATGCTACTGCTATCGTAACTACTGGCAACGTGTTTTCTCTCCGTCGCTACTAGTATTCTTTTTTTATTTTTTATTTTTAGTGTATTTATGCGCCATCATACAAATATTGGTAGAATACCAGTTATGAGGTTTACATCATTATGTCCATAACAGTGTGCTAAATGAAGGTGGATTAGGTTCAAGTGGAGGCAATATGTGGTGCATGTCAAAAGTATACTACTAATCCAAACTTGATCAGTTTGGACTAGTAGTACTTTCGATGTGCATCACATGTTGCCTCCACTTGAATCTAATCCGCCAGCACAAGCTATTTAATCATCATCATAGTCATTACCACCAACAGTATTTATTTAATCACCACTAACACTAGCTAATAATAATCATCATAGTCATTACCACCAACACTAGCTATTTTATCATCATAGTAATAGCACTATTAGAAACTACGATTTTACCTAGGGCCAAGGTCTTTACCTAGAGCTCATTTGCCTCCTCAAGGGAAAGAAAATATATGAACAGTATACTCTAGGGGAAGATGAGTTTCCATGTGAAAATAAAAGGGAAATAAAGTTTACCTACAGTTGTTTTCTCCCCCTAGGTAAAGACAGCCATGTGGACAACACTGGACAAAATAAAAGCACCTATACGGCCCCACTGTTGCCGCAAGGATGGCCTCCCGCGTATTTTTTTCATCAGCGCGCTTTATTTTTTGGCGGCCTATGCCATATTTTGGTGCAGGCCCACTATGCAGTGAGAAGGGCAGAAAGAGGTGGCTGTCCGCATTTGATCTTCTTCTCCCTCTCTCCCGAAGATGAGCGCCGCGCCGCCGCCCAACCCTCTCCCTCCTCCCTTCCCAGATCTGCGGTCCAACACGCCCCGCCTCCTCTCCCCCTGTCGATCCGTAGCCTAACCACCATCGCTGCGCCGACCGTGGTGACCACGCCGTGCCGTCCATAGTCCCAGCACCGCGCCGCCGGTCCAGATCGCTGGGTTGCGACGGTCCTGTGACCTCGCATCGTGGTGACCGCGTTGCCCCCTGTCGATTTGATGGACACTGGACCTTCCGTCGTCTTACCCTGTCCAAGACCAAACTCGTCTTCTCATCTGAAGCCGATCTAGATCTTGCTCTCTGACCGGTTCCCAGGCGGGCGTCCCTCTACTTCATGTCCTTGCACTTCGACGGGTGCCCAGGTGCGTGTCCCTGTTCTTCTACTCCGACGGCCAGCTACCCAGAAGTTCCCCTGCTTCCTCTTCGATTGGCAGCCAAACGGCACACAACTGCGAGCATGGTAGCGTGTGAAGGTATCCCTCTCCCTATAGATTTGTTGAATAGTTTATAAGACTATTTAGGATGAACCGATGTTGAAATCTGTGTGCTATAGGCTATAGTTTAATGAGATGCTAGTTGATGAGTAACAATATGATTTGAGGCTAACACTTTTTTTGTTTCTGAACATCTGATTTAGTACGAGGTCGATAATTGATAGGTACAAGACAATCTTTGCAAGACATCAGGCTTTGCTCCAGCTATTGATATCCATTTTCTGGTGAAAAGAAATGTCTAAGATGGTAATTAGTATCCAAGGTTATGTTTTGGGGAACAATTTGTTATCGAAAACATCTCTGCTAAATTTGTGATCATGTGCAGCACATTTGATTTCGTACAAAATACAGGTCATGGGATTATGAAAGTTCTATCGGACAAACCAATGCTCGTGCGATATAGTTGTATTACTGTTTACAGATGTGATCGTCCCGGTTGTAGACTTAACATGATTTTAAATAGCTAAACTAAAGTAGCTAGCTCGGTATGCACATGTAGTTAGGAAACTGACTAGCTATCTTACAGGTGTTCCCTATACATTTAATGTGCTCCGTTAGCTACTAACTGGTTCCAGCTGATTTACTTCATTTTGTACACAACAAATACTATCTTATTATAGATAAATCGCAAAACAAATGATAATGCAATATTTGCCCACCCCCTTCTTATATAGCTGATTGGTTCACAGAGATAACAATCTTGTCGTCACATCTGCCCTGAAGAACTGAGAAGTGTCATGGAACTTACATATTTCTTTTTTATAGAACTGTTGTTTGCTCTATAAATACCACATTATCTTGCAATTCTTACAGAGAATCGTACTTTGCTTTATAAATACAACATAGTCTTGCAAGCAGTCAATTTAACATCATTCTGTTGCTATGCTCTTGAAGCACTTGAACCCGCTTGGATCACGGCAAGACAGATAGAAGCAGTACGAAGAGCAATAACACGATATGCACGTCGTGGTGGAAAAATATGGGTACGTATATTTCTCGACAAACCGGTTACACTAAGACCCACGGAAACACGTATGGGCTAGGTCCTGGGATTTCTTACCATCAAGTTGGTAAAAAGCCTCAATTTATTGGCAATTGCTAGAATTATCTATCAATCGCAATGGCAGGGACATTATTTAGTTCTATGTTACTAGCAAGCCAAGTGTATTATTTTTGTCTAACAGAATTCGTTCAGGAAGATAGCAAAACTATCATAAACTGCAGGTTACAGCTATCCTATTTGGGACACTAAGCTATACACTTATCCTATTTTTCTATTCAGAATGGCATAGCTTCTCTGTTCATACAATATTTTACTTAAATTAGAATTTTTCCTGCAGGCAATACATTTAATATTTTACTATGCAAATCAGTTTCAATATAAGGGATAGTACGTTTTCCTATGCATCTGCCAACCACCACTTCTATCTATTTTGTCTAATTAATTTTCTTTGTTCTCTCTACAAGGTTTAACAAATCAGATGATAAGGTAAAAGAACTCTTCTTGTATTTCATAGTCGGCACTCGAGTTGCGACTCGTAGACTAGTCTGTCGACTAGTCGATCGGCTCGTAATCAGTGGAGAGAACACATACCATCATATGTTTTTCCCATTAAATCCTCTTGGGGGAAGGCATTATAAGTTTAGCTAATTCCATGTGTTGTGGAGAAGAAGAAAAGTTGGTCGAGCCCAACACCAAAATAGCAATCTTTGTACCTTTGTCTATGGATTAGCACAACGAACTATATCAATGAACTTGATCATATTATTTGCTTGAGACAGAGTTAGTGCAACGAAGTATATCAATGAACTCTTCACTTATCATTGAATTATCTTCTTTCTTTGCAGGAACATATTCTTACGGGTGGTCATGGTTTGCTGGTTGATGGGCACAAACAAGTAATTGAGGCTCTCGCTGAAGGTCTTAATCAGAGTTGTAGATATTGTAGATACTTGGCCTGACCAACTCAAGGTCTTGACACCCCTCTTAATCAGAGGTGTAAATACTTTGCCTTACTAGAGTAGCAGATAATTGTCCTGACCAACAACACATGTACATGCTGACTTAGGTGTTCTGCTAGCTGTACGAAACATTAGCTATGTTTACTTCTTGAATTCTGGCTTGAAATTGACCATGAGTCTGTAATTGAACAAGAATCTGATGTGTACATTGAATTTTAGCATCAATTTATAATTTTGAATTATGGCCCAGAATTTAATTATTGGAATTATGGCATATATGAATTTAAATTCGAATTGAATATTTGTATACGATAGATATGGATATGATATGTCCCACCATCTTTCCCTAGGGCCAAACTTTGTTGTAGGTAAATCACCTTTCCACGCTGGACAACGCTGAGATGAATTCTATCCCTAGTGTATAGGGCCCTAGGTAAAGAAATGGTTTCTGTCGGTGTCAAAACCATCGAATCTCGGATAGGGGGTCCTGAACTGTGGTCTAGGCCGGATGGTAACAGAAGGCAGGGGACACAATGTTTTACCCAGGTTCGGACCCCCTTGATGGAGGTAAAACCTACATCCTGCTTGATTAATATTGATGATATGGGTAGTACAAGAGTAGATCTACCACGAGATCAGATAGGCTAAACCCTAGAAGCTAGCCTATGGTATGATTGTATGTTGTGATTGTTGGCCTACGGACTAAAACCCTTCGGTTTATATAGACACCGGAAAAGGTTAGGGTTACACAAGGTCGGTTACAAAGGAGGAGATATCCATATCCGTATTGCCTAGCTTGCCTTCCACGCCAAGTAGAGTCCCATCCGGACACGAGACGAAGTCTTCAATCTTGTATCTTCATAGTCTAACAGTCCGGCCAAAGAATATAATCCGGCTGTCCGGAGACCCCCTAATCCAGGACTCCCTCAGTGGCCCCCGAACCATGCTTCAATGACGATGAGTCCGGCGCGCAGTATTGTCTTCGGCATTGCAAGGCGGGTTCCTCTCCAAATTCCGTCTACCTGTCAAAATAGTGTCCGGTCTCTTGTGAATGTTGCACTCCTTGGCTTCCACGCCCAATAATGGCCTCTTTCCATGTGTCGAGCGAATGTGAAGAGCCAGGGTGTTTTCACATTTACCCCCCTAGCTGTGTGAATGAGCCGCCTATTAAAAAGACGAGGATTCAGATCCAAATCACACCATCCTCCCTTGGCGAGCCTTCATCGGAGCGCACCCGACAGAGATCCATTCCATCATGGCCGGTCGACACAGCTCCTCCTCTTGCTCCCCTAGCTCCAAGCCTGGAGATTGGGAGAGATGTTCCGCCCCGCACAGCAAATTAGTGATGCTTCAGACCAAGGGATTTCTTTCCCCAGCGTACATGGTCCCGGTTCGAGCTGGGCTCGCCACCTATAATGGCGGAGAGCAAGCGGAGAGCCTTCCCAATCCCTCCAAGGGAGAGCGGGTATGCCTTGTCCCTTATTTGGTAAGAGGGCTCGGATTTCCAATTCATCCGTTTCTCCGGGGGCTCCTGGAGTTCTACGGCCTCGAGTTGCACAATCTTACGCCTGCCTCCATGCTTCATATCGCGGGATTCGTAGCCCTTTGCAAGTTGTTTTTGGGCTGTGAGGCTCATTTCGCTCTGTGGAAGAAGCTATTCTGCCTTGTGCCCCGTTCTCAGAAGGGGTCAATATATCAAGTGGGCGGAGCCGAAGTGTGGCGTATTGCCGGGACCGGATACCTGTCCGAAACCCCAAAGAAGACGTCCGAAGACTGGCCTTCAGAATGGTTTTACATAAAAGACGTCCCCCTCCCGGATCCTATTCGGATCGGCCTTCCTGAGTTCGACAACGCCCCTTTGAAGAAGCGCGGAGCTGGCGTCCACGGAGCTCCATGGAGGAAGATGACAGGGACATTCTTTACCTGATGATCCGGGTAAGTTTTTTAGCTCGATCCAGATTGACCATGATTGAGGTCATGGCCATATGTATCATGCGGGGGGTGCAGCCGCTTCAGTATAGAGGCCACCACACGTGGGATTTCAATGGGGAGGATGACGCCACCCGCTACGGCCGTAAAGGGCCGGGATCGGTTGCTGATCTAATAAAGATCTTATCCACTTTGTACAAGGGAGAAGAGGAGGAATTCCTTCATGTCAACCTGCAGGGCGGATTTTCTATGTACAATCCTCCGAGCTGGGTAAGCGGAGACTTTTTCTCGCCCATCCGTTTCATATTTCCGTAGTTAACTATTCAGTCTAGCGATTTCCATGCAGGAACTGCGCCAGGCTGTAAGGGAGATAAACAACCCCCCTCCACAACCCGAGGACCCTGGACGGTCCCTCGACCCGGCCTCCCAGGAGGATCCAGACATATCCGTGGAGCTGATCGATGGGGTGTTTTACCAATTGAGCAATGATAATGCTTTGGTGGCCATTACGGCCGATTACCCTGGGCTACTTCCAGCCTCACAGGTGACTGAGACCGAAATCCCAGCACTTCAAAAATGGATCCGTCCTTGCGTGTTTTTGTTTGCTGTATAATAGCCGTGTTTTGCAGGGGAGGTCCTCGAGGCAGAAGGCCGAGCCTGCGGCGACTGGCCAACAAGGGGCCGCGAGGCCAGGCATGCTGAAAAGACCCGCAGTCTAGATTGAGACACCGGCGCAGTGGTACAGCGTACCGTCTTTATTGCAAGACATTATTCTCAGAGGCATACTAACGCCCAAGCCTTCTTTTCAGGAAAAAGAGCGCTCGCCGGACTATACCCGGAGAGGCTACCAATCGCGCCTCCACCAGCCAGGCTCCAAGGCCGGATTCGGAGGCGCGAACGAATACGAGGCGTGCGTCGAGTGCTCCTCCGATAGAGGATGCGGATAAACTGTCCGCCACCAATTCCGAGGTGGGAAGTGCCATGAACCATAGGCGTCGCCGGACTGTTCTTTCCGACGCTTGTTTCTCCCAAGAGGCATTGGATGCCTTCAACTCGGGAGATGCGCACCTCCGTGCCGCTCAAAATGGTCTAGCCAGAGCCACGGAGTAGTATGTAAAAGACATACGGGTGAGAAAATTTGGTGATTATATATATCAGTAGCCCCTGAGACTTGAAACAGTTAGGATAAGTGATTTAAGGATCATTTGTTATGCATGTTCTTACAGAAAAGAATACTCAACTGTCCCAGGAGCTGGAAGAGTGCAAAGCCCAACTTCAGGCCGCACTGGCCGCAGCAGGGGAGCCCAAAGAGACCCCCTCTGGTAACATATCCTTCGAATGATAAGTATCATATAGAATGCGACGTATATGCAGATCTGACGATAAAATTGTAGATGACGCTGGAGTAAATCCGGATAAGCAACAGCTGCTACGCCAGCTGAAGGCCGGTGAGAGCGTGCTTACGAGGGTGAGGCAGGAGAAAAATGATCTCCTAGATGCCAACACCAAGCTGGGCGTGGAACTACAAGATGTTCGTGCCCAACTGTCGGACTCTGTTAAGGAAAATCGGCGGCTTCGACGCGGCATATTTAGTAAGTGCTTGAACGAACTTTGAAAAAGAGTTCGACGAGGAAGCTGGCTGATGGAGTTATGTCTATAGGTATGCTAACAGGTCGTCCTGCCGAGGAAATGCCCGGTTCAACGGGTGACCTTCTTCCCGAGCTCTCACGGCTGCACGAACGAGTTCGGCAGGTGATGCAAGGCGTCGCCCAGGCCTTGTGGCCACCCGTCTCCATACCCGAAGGCCTTGGAGAGCTTGCAGAAAAGCTAAAGGGAGCACGGCGGTGCTTCCGATTATGGAAGATATCGGCCTACCGTCAGGGCGCCAGGGAAGCCTGGGCAATGGTGAAGACACGGTACACGAAGGCTGACCCGAACCACATGGCCGAAGTTGGACCTGTGGGGCCCGATGGGAAGGAGATCCCTGTGAGCTTAGTGTACGACCAAGTAGTATTGGCCGCAAAGTATTCCCAACAGGACTGTAGACTAGACAACCTATTGGATGGTATTGAAGAGGAATTCAACCAGTCAAATCGACTATGTAATTTTAAAGTGACATGTATAATGCCTTCTAGCCGGATTGTAGATCGTT